TGGTACCCTCTCGGGCTGTCTTGGGCCCTGTTGGAGGCCTCTTGGGCTATCTTGGATTGGTCTTGGAGGCCTTTTGGGCAATCTTGGAGCCTCAGGACGCCAACAGGCTGAACACTCGAACATCAATCAAAAACCGATGGCAAGACATGGATGTTTGCCTCTTGGGGCCTTCGTGGGAGGCCTCTTGGATACTCTTCGGCCCCCTGGGGGGCTTCTTGGGGCCTCTTGGAGCCTGTTATGGGTTTCTCGGGGCCTCCTGAGAGCCTCTCGGGGTGAAGACTCAGATTTTCGGTTCGTGTCAACCCTCTTGGCTCCATCTTGGGACCGTCGTGGGGCCCTCTCGGGCCGCCTGGGGCGCCTCTGGCGCTGTCTTGGGACCCCCGTGGGCTGTCTTGTGACCGTCTTCGAGGCCTCTGGGGATACCTTGGAGCGGAAATTTAAGCCTCTAGGGCCGTCGTGGAGCGTCAGGAAACTCAAAAGGCGAGAACTCGAAAACCTATCAAAAACCAAAGGGAAACAAATTACGCTACCGAGGACCCCACATCCATATATTATGGCTCGAGTGATGATAGCCTCCTCCTCCTCCTCCTCCTCCTCCTCGTCCTCTCCCCCCCGCCATTGATATACTCCTTCGCACCCCCTGCGATGTCGGGAAGTGCTATCCTGCCTTGCCCTGGACAACCGGCTCGGATAGCGGCCACGCTCAAGGACCACCCCCTGCGCACCTCCTATGGTGTCGGAAAAGTGCCATTCCTGCTATGCCCTGGACGACGGGCTCGGATAGCGGCCGCGCTCAGGGACCACCCCCTGCGCACCCCCTACGGTGTGGGAAAATGCCACTCCTGCTATGCCCTGGACGACCGGCTCGGATAGCGGCCGCGCTCAAGGACCACCTCCTGCGCACCCCCTACGGTGTCGGGAAATGCCACTCCTGCTATGCCCTGGATGACTGGCTCGGACAGCGGCCGCGCTCAGGGACCACCCCCTGCGCACCACTTACGGTGTCGGGAAATGCCACTCCTGCTATGCCCTGGACGACTGGCTTGGATAACGGCCGCGCTCAGGGACCACCTCCTGCGCACCCCCTACGGTGTCGGGAAATGCCACTCCTGCTATGCCCTGGACGACCGGCTCGGATAGCGGCCGCGCTCAGGGACCACCCCCTGCGCGTCGGGAAATGCCACTCCTGCTATGCCCTACCGGTCGGATGGAAATACTCCTGCTATGCCCTAGGCCACCGGCTCGGACAGCGGCCGCGCTCAGGGACCACCCCCTGCGCACCCCCTAGGGTGTGGGGAAAAATGCCCTACTCCTGCTATGCGCCCTGGATACCGGAATAGCGGCCGCGCTCAGGGACCACCCCCTGCGCACCCCCTACGGTGTCGGAAATGCCACTCCTGCTATGCCCTGGACGACCGGCTCGGATAGCGGCCGCGCTCAGGGACCACCCCCTGCGCACCCCCTACGGTGTCGGGAAATGCCACTCCTGCTATGCCCTGGACGACCGGCTCGGATAGCGGCCGCGCTCAGGGACCACCCCCTGCGCACCCCCTACGGTGTCGGGAAATGCCACTCCTGCTATGCCCTGGACGACCGGCTCGGATAGCGGCCGCGCTCAAGGACCACCCCCTGCGCACCCCCTACGGTGTCGGGAAATGCCACTCCTGCTATGCCCTGGACGACCGGCTCGGATAGCGGCCGCGCTCAGGGACCACCCCCTGCGCACCCCCTACGGTGTCGGGAAATGCCACTCCTGCTATGCCCTGGACGACCGGCTCGGATAGCGGCCGCGCTCAGGGACCACCCCCTGCGCACCCCCTACGGTGTCGGGAAATGCCACTCCTGCTATGCCCTGGACGACCGGCTCGGATAGCGGCCGCGCTCAGACCCCCCCGCACCCCCTACGGTGTCGGGAAATGCCACTCCTGCTATGGACGACCGGCTCGGATAGCGGCCGCGCTCAGGGACCACCCCCTGCGCACCCCCTACGGCGTCGGGAAATGCCACTCCTGCTATGCCCTGGACGACCGGCTCGGATAGCGACCGCGCTCAAGGACCACCTCCTGCGCACCCCCTACGGTGTCGGGGGAAATGCCGCTCCTGCTATGCCCTGGACGACTCGCTCGGATAGCGGTCGCGCTCAGGGACCACCCCCTGCGCACCCCCTACGGTGTCGGGAAATGCCACTCCTGCTATGCCCTGGACGACTGGCTCGGATAACGGCCGCCTTCAGGGACCACCTCCTGCGCACCCCCTACGGTGTCGGGAAATGCCACTCCTGCTATGCCCTGGACGACCGGCTCGGATAGCGGCCGCGCTCAGGGACCACCCCCTGCGCCCCCCCTACGGTGTCGGGAAATGCCACTCCTGCTATGCCCTGGACGACCGGCTCGGATAGCGGCCGCGCTCAGGGGCCACCCCCTGCGCGCCCCCTACGGTGTTGGGAAATGCCACTCCTGCTGTGCCCTGGACGACCGGCTCGGATAGCGGCCGCGCTCAGGGACCACCCCCTGTGCAGCCCTTACGGTATCGGGAAATGCCACTCCTGCTATGCCCTGGACGACCGGCGCTAGCCCTGCGTGCTCTGCTATGCTGAGCTGAGCTGTGCCGAGCTGAGCACTGTGCTGTGCTGAGCTAATATGTGCTATGCTGTGCTGTGCTGTGCTTAGATGAGCTGAGCTGTGCTGAGCTGTGCTGAGCAGTGCTGTGCTGTGCTGTGCTGCGCTGCTCTGCTGAGCTGTGCTTAGCTGAGCTGTGCTTTGCTGAGCTGAGCTGTGCTGAGCTGATGGGAGAGGGAGGAGAGGGGAAGAGGGAGGTGAGTGAGTGAGCGCGGGTGGGACGCGGCAGAGAAGAAAACCAGAACCCCACTAAGCATGCGAGGATTAGTTGTGCCTCCTGGGGCTCCTTGGGAGCCATCTTGGAGACCTCTTGGGGCGTCTTGGAGACCTCTTGGACAGTCAGGGACCAATTCTGGGGTGATCTCGGGCGGTCATTTGTTGTTTTCGTTGTCTGGAAACGCCAGGGCCGTCTTCGGGCGACTTTACAAGGCCCCCAGCAGGGCCCCCTGGCCCCCCGGTGCGAAGGCCCCGTCCCCGGCCCCGCCTCGTGCCCGCGGCAGGGCGTCCCTGGGCCGTCTCGGCGCCCTCGTGGGGGCCTGTTGGGGCGACATTGGGTTTCTGAAATCAATCAAAAACCTAAGGACAATCAATGATTTTGGCGTCCCTTTGGGCCGTGTTGGAAGCCTTGTGGGCCGTCTGGAGGCCATCTTGGGCGCGTTCGAACGATATGTCCTCGTTTCGGGGCCTCTTGGTGGCCTCTTGCGGCCCTTTTCGTCTGTGTTGGGGCTTTCTTGGACCGTCTGGGGGCGGTCCTGGGCTGTCTCGGCGCCCTCTTGGAAGCCTGTTTGGAAGATTTCTGGGTGTCCTGGACCGTCCTCCTTCAACGTCGGCCGCACTGGCTGTAAGACTTCCTGGGAACATGATTTGTTGGGGTGTCGTTGGGCGCCTCTGGAGGCTTCGGGGCCTGACGCGTTTCCGAGCGTGGCGGCAGGTAGCGCTGCTTGGGACTCTCGGCTTTTATCCTGGCAAGCATTTATAAACATGGTTTGGGGAGAGGGCGGCAACCCGAGAATCATGTTGCCGGGAAGCTTTCTGGGAGCATGATTTGTTCGGCTCTCGTAAGAAGGGGGGCTCTGGGGGCTTACCGAAGGGCCCTTTTTGGCCTTGTCGGCAAGCCTATTGGAAACATGGTTGGGGCGGTGGGCGGAAGCCCAAGGAATCATGTTCCCGGAAAACTCTGGGAAATACGATTTACCGAGGTCTCTTGGGGGCCCGCAAGGGGCTTCCCTGGGGGGGCCCTTGGGGGCTTATTAGGGCTTCCGGGGGGCCTCTTGGGAGCCTCACGGGGCTTCTTGGGAGCATCTTGATGGCCTCCGGGGGCGTCCTAGGAGCCTCTCAGGCTGGAGACCTTGAAATGTCGCGCTCTTCGGGCCCTCTTGGGTCGCTCTTGGGGCTCTCTTGAGGCGCTCTCGAGGCTCTCTTAAATTATCTGGGGAACCTCCTGGGCCGTCTCTGGTCTTTCCTTGGGAGCCTCTTCGGCCATCTTGGAGCGATCTGGGCCTCTGACGCCGTCCAGGACCGTGGGGAGGCGGATAGGCGAGAGCGTAAAAATGCGGGGCACTTTGGAGGAGCCTCTGGAGGCGCTCTTGGGGCGTTTTGGCGGCGTCGTCGGCCGTCCTGAGGCCATCTTGGGCGTGTCCGGGGCCTCTTGGGGCTGTCTTGGCAATATTTAGGGCCCTCTAGGCGTGTCGTGGCGTGTTTGGGAGCGGGCCGGGGCAGTCCAGGGAGCCCTGGGGGCTGTTGAATGCTAGGTGTTGTCTTGGAGGCGGAGGCTGTTGAGTGCAAGGTGGCGCGTGCTGCGCGGAAGGCCGGCGAGCGGCCGGGCGGGCGGCGGGCGGGCAGGTGGCGGGCGGGCGCGCCGGCGGGTCGGAATTTGAATGAATTCCTTAAGGGTGCTCTCTTACAGCGGGAGCTTGTTGAGTACAGGGTGTTGCCTGGAAGACGGGGGCTGTTGACTACAGGGTGTTGTCTTGGAGACTGAAGCTGTTGAGTACAGAGTGGTGCGTGCTACGCGGACGGCGGGCGGGCGGCGGGTGCCCTAGGTGGTGGGTCAGAGGCCTCATGGGTGTTGGTTTGGATCTCGTGGTTGGCCTGTCGGGGACGTCGTGAAGGCAGTTTCGCAGCTTCTCGGTAGCCATTCTGAGACCGTTGTGGGACCTCCTCGGGGCTGTTTTGTGGCCTCTTGAGGCCTTGTTTGGGTCTCCTGGGTGCCTCTCGGGGACCTCCTGGGGCCTCTGGGGGGCTCCTTGGGGCCTCCTGGGGCACTCTTCAAGCGGGAGGGTCGAATTTGGGAGTGGTGGTCCGCTCGCCTGTCGCCCGCTTCGGCGCAAGGGGGCAGCCGCAGGACGAGGGAGGGGGAGGCGGACGCAGCGAGGACCCCGCCTCCCACTTGCCGGGGTTCCGCTCGTCCGGCAGGACCACGCAGCTTATGCTCTCCGCCTCCTGGCCGCGCGCGCTGTCCTGCCCCCCCCTCCCAGTGCTGCCTCGCCCCCTTTCCCCGGGCAAGCGACCAGGGAGAGGAGGCCCGATGCTCCGTGGACTGCACTCCTCGTGCGACCATGCGGAGTGCCAAGCAGGGAACGGAGAGGGTGGGGGTCCTGGCCACGGCGAGCCTCGACCACGAAGAGGCTCCCCGACATCACTGCAGGGAGCGGCCCACACTGCAGCCCGTCCTCCACGGATTCGCCCACTACTTCAGCGTCGTGGCTGTACCTCTGCTTGCGCTCTTCACCCTTACCTCGGGCCTCTACGGCTGGACCTGAGACAGAGGAGCATCCTTGGAGAGCATGAGACCCTCCGCCGGCCAAACTGAATTACACTCCAGGGTGCCCTCCCCCAGGATGCACCAGGACATCCAACACACAAGAAGAGCATCAGGGTACCCTCCCCGAGCCGACATCCATCTTGCACCTCGGTCCGACTGCAAGCCCTCTACAGGGGCCTCTGGGAGGCCTCCCGAAGCCCGGGCACCTCCCCAGTGGTCCCTCGCAGGCCTCCGGTGGCCGAGCGGGAGGAGGGGACACCCAACGGCGAGCGGCGGGGGCAAGACCGCAGGCCCTGGGCGCGCTCCCCTGCGGAGGGGCCAAGCCGACTCCGCTCGTGGCGCCCCGCCCGCCCCCCAGGGCCTGTCGTGGCCGCGCAAGCAGGGCCCGTGAAGCCAATGGCCTCACTCGGACGTGCGTCAGCTCAGCGTCCACGATTCTCTTCGAACTGCAGCGCCGGGCGCGACGAGGGGGCCAAGCGAGGGCCCGCCGAGCAGCGAGCGAGGCGGGGGCCCGACAAGAAGCCAGTGGCCAGCGGCAGATTTGGAGCGGGGGAGGGGCAACTCCACTCAGCTCCTCCCCGGCCCGTGGTACGGTGCGCTGGCCGCGATGCGGGAAGCTGCGAAGCTGTGCCCCCCGACGAATGAGGGGGCTCGCGGGGTCTGCCGATGGGCGCGCCGAAGCTCCGCTCGGGTCTGCCAGAATCCCGCGCGCTGTGCTCCGCCGCTGGCCTGCACGCTCTCGCCCGCTCCCAAGCCCAAGGCAGGAGGCGCCCGCGATCTCTCTCTCTCTCTCTCTCTCGTCGGCTCGGTGGTGGGACGAAGAGGGAGAGGCGGTAAACAAGGGGGGGCACGAAGATAATTAAGGGGACGGGGGGAGAAATGCAGGAAGGAAGAGGTAGGAAAAGCAGCAGCAGCAGGGGAACATCAATCAGGGGAGGAGGCGGCAGGTAGCGGGAGGAGGAGGAGGAGGAGGAGGAGGAGGAGGAGGAGGAGGAGGAGGAGGAGGAGGAGGAGGAGGAGGAGGAGGAGGAGGAGGAGAAGAAGCCCATCTGGCCTGTGCCTGGTGGGGCCGAAACCGATCGTTGGGGTCGATCGTTTGCGCCTCGTGCGATCGATCGCGTTCGGTCGCCTGGGAGGCCGGGCTCACGATGGCTCCCCCCGAAGTCCTGGACGTGCTCAGCTTGCAGCTCCCACGTCCCGAACAGCGCGTGGGACTGCAAGTGCGGCTTCAACTGGACACCACGCGCTGGATTGGCGCAGCGACAGCATGGACAAGGGAAGCCTAAGACGACTCCCAGCAAAGACAATCAAGTCGACAAGGAGCAGCAGGCGATAATACACAATGGACGAGGCCCGCAGCATCAAGAGCTGGCAGGAGCCGCCAACCGATGCCGCGCAGAACATCAAGCAGTGTAAGACGCTCACCCAGGTCTACCAGGCCCATAAGCAGGCAAGCAAGGGGACTGGAGTCGAAGGGCTGGGGTTGGGCATGCTCAACACGACCATCATATTGATCAAACTACTGTCAATTTAGCTACCAGAGCTTGTCAGACTACGCAACGAAATAGAACCAGAGCTGGAGAGCCACAACACGCAGATCAGACGCTACAGAAGCGCTGCAGGATACTGGCAGTGCGCATCACCAAGATCTACGACCACTGGCAGGAGCTCATCGGCTCCTCACAGGAGGACGAGAGCAGCACTACCGACGAGGAGGACATGCAGGACAAGCAGACAGGGGCCGCGGCGGTCGCCAGCTCCGCGGCTGGTGCTGCGGCCCCGACAACTCCCAGGAGAGAACGTGCGGCCCATATGGGCATGCAGCTGCGCAAAACCAAGACCCAACGCCCAACCTACGAGGGGGAGTCGAAAGTCCCAGCGCTTGTACCCAGCGTGGCTGGTCGCTCCAGCAAGCTCCTCAACTTGAAAAAGGACAACGCGTCCGCGCCAGCCCAGTCCTCTTCGGCTGCAGTCAACTCTGCGCCAAAGCAGGAATTCAACTGGGAGGTGATAGCGGCGCTGCAAGGCCTCAACCAGAGGCCCAACAACCAGCAGTAACACTTCAACCACCAGTTCTCCCAGCTCCATCGTCCTGGACAAGCCGACGCGCGCCAAGTTCAGGCACAGAAGGCTAGCGCTTAGCAAGAGCAGCTGCAGCACTGGCAACCAGTACAAGAGATGCAGGAGAAAGAGTGGCAGATCAAGATACAGGAGCACTCTCTCAGAGCTCAAGGTGCAAGCCCTGAGTGAAGAGCATCAGGCCTTCTTCAGAGCCGAGCTGCACCAGATGACTCGCCATGAAGCTCAACGTGAGGCCATCATCCATGTCACCCAGGCAGCGCCAGCTTGAGGACCAGGAGGCAGCGGCAACGGCCCGCCGCCACTACGATGAGACGGAGACGAAGACGATCCGCAGGCACGAGGTTCACCAGCAGACTATGCAGTGTCAGGCTGAGAATTCGTAGAAAGGCTGCTTTGACCAGTTGTCGTGCAGAGCGCTCCCACGCTCTTGAGCAGGAAACGCAGTAGAAGGAGAAATTGGCCTGAGAGACGGATGAGACCCTGAGGCGGCGTCGTGAGCTACGCCCCGCCCAGGACCTCCAGATGGCCCTGGCCACCACCGACATCGAGGAGCGCAAGAGCTACGTCGAGGCGGTCCACCGCGAGATAGAGACGAGTCAAAAGACACACACTGGAAGAGATAACGGGCATTCACCAAGAGAAGGTGGCGCACGCCGAAGCCCTGCCGCGGACGACAGCTCACGCGGGCAACGCTCCAGTCGGAGGGGGACGAGATGGAGAAGCAGGCGACCATGAGGGCTCAGAAAGAAAAACAAAAAACGAGCTCCGGCAATGCAACATAAGCAGCAGCCCCAACGCACATCATCACAGTTGGCGTTCGCTCGGCAGGAGGCGCAGCTACAGCACCAGGAGTTGGTCAAACAGAAGCAGCGGGCGCAGCAGACCCACCAGCAGAACTACATCGCCTGGGACAAGGTGCTGAACAAGTTTGGTACCGTCGTAAGGAGTGACATCTGTTCGGCAACGACTCTGACACTGCTGCCCAACCCTGCGCAGCTGCCTTTCCTGGGCTCAGGTACCATCACACCAACAGCCCCGCTCCTGCCAGGACAAGGTGTGCCACCACTAGCACCTGAGCAGCACGAGGGAAACGCTGTCGACTCATCAGTAGCAGGCCGTCTCGCAGGCATGGTCGACTCGTGGCTACAGCCATTCAGCACCCAGCCTGTTGTCGTACGCTCAACATATCCAGCGGAGAGCTGCTCCAGCGAAGATGAGGCAAAGCCCAGGAATCCAAGCCACAAGAAAGACACATGTCTGGAGGGTTCCAAAGGAGGGTTTCGGGGAGGGTTTTTTCAAGGAGGGGTCCCCCAGGAGCTTCGCACCCCGTGTCTTGACGAGGTTCCGAGGCCCCTGGGGGGCTCTCTGGAACGCCCCCTCTCCCCAAAAAACCCTCTCGAACCCACCAGACAGGGGGTGGACAGCGAAGGGGGACCTCACGCACGGCGACATCCGCCTCCAGGCTCCTCCATCTCCCGGGCGGCCTCGACGGCGCGGGCGTTTTTGTTCGCTTTGGCAAACGAGGCGGGCAGACCCCGGGGCACTGCCGAGGAAGGGCAATGTTCGATCTCGTGCTCGGAAGCTCGTCGTTCGGGCGCCGAGGATCCAGCACACGAAACAGCAGCTGCTGGATGGCGACACGATTAACAACCTTTTTTTCCAGACCAGAGGGCAGGGACCAGAGGCCATCAGTCGCACCAAGGGGAGGTGCGAGAGGCGCCAAAAACTGACCACGTCGCACATGGGCGCCGTCTGCGACGGCAGCGCCCGCTCGTGCGAGGTGGCGCCGCCCGCACACGTCGACAGCAGGCAGTCTCCGCGGCCTCGGGCGCGTGCGGAGGCTCGCCCTGCCCTGCAGCAGTCTTGGCGAAATGCACGTGCATGAGTCGCTCACAGGTCTCTACCATCGGCTAGTGTCTAAAAACTGTTCAAAAGTATGGTTGGGAGACAATTTAAACCATGTTGTTTTACCCAGCGCTGTAGTGCGCCTATAGAAAACAAAAGGGATGCGGGGCAAACTGGATCGCTGGAAACGTCCCCGCGACCGCCCTGGCGCCCTGCGTGCAGGGGCAGATTCCTGCGCACCCCCTCTTGGCGTCAGGCCACGCCTGCCACTGCGACCCCAGCGTGGATAGAGACTGCGCTCAGGCACCACTCCCTGCGCACCGCGCACCCGGTCTGGGTTGCGAACAAGCCACACCTGACACGCCCGAGCCTGGCGTGGAAAGAGACCGGCACTTGGGGACCATCCCTTGCGCACGCCCTCTGGTGCCGAGAGGGCCACAAGTGCTTTAAGATGGCCTCCAAGATGGCGCAATCTGGCCCACGTTGGCTCAAGATGGCCTCATCAGACCGGCGACATGTGATGAACATATGATGCAACAGGACAGGAGAGGGGCTAGACCATGTTACGACGAAGGCCGGATCGCCCTCCAGGCCAGAAAGGCCCTCAGCAAACCGCTCAGTTCGAGGCCGCACCAAGGCTACACCAGGTTACAGCGAACGTCGCACCGCCCTCTGGGCCAAACTTGCGAGGCTACACCAAGATACGATGAAGGCCGTCCCCCCTCTGGGCCACGCAAGCGGGATTACACCA